AGAAAAGCTAAAAAGAGTATGGTTTAACGGATTTTTTAGGACATCTGAAAAGTATTTATGCATAAAGACATCACAGGTGAGCTGACACACCATTTCTATCATTCATTAATGGGATTCAGAGTGAAAGCAGGTATTTATCTTAATTAGTATGTTCATTTTGCTTAATACTTGCTTCTATTTGTAATTAGGTAGGCTCGTAACATTATCTATCCAGAAGTAGCTTAGTGTCTGTATCTCGTAGCTTACTTGGCCATCGTTATGTTTTTAGGCTATCCCTAGTGTATCCGGTAATGAATGGAAGCGTGAATTAAACCATGCCCTAACAAAGCTGCAGTGTCTTAGAAGCCTGGTCTAGTTAATTTGTTTGTTACTCAGTTCCTAGGCTTAACTGCTTCAATTGACTAGTTAGATGACATAAAATGATTAAGTCTGTCTTTTCTTTTCTTGTTTTCTTTTCCTTTTTCTTTACTTTTTTTTTTCTTTTTTTTGTTGGTATTTATTCTTTTGTTTTTTAAAGGTTCTTTTACTCATAATCACCACAATGATTGACCTTTATGGATTAATAGACTTACTCTTCATTCCTGCCTCACTGTTTACCGAGTTTCTGTTTGTCTCATTCAAAGCACTTGAAATTTGCGCTTAGCATTGCAAGTTGTATTGTTTGTCGTTGCTATGATGATTGTTGATTTTGGTGCGATTGCAGGTAGTCAGGTTAGTGAGAAGAGTTTTTGTGAATGGACAATGAGTGTATTCTTTTCTTTGATCAGTTTGGTAGAACCTCAAGGCATCTTCATCTGTTCCTAAATCTATCAGGTTGTTCGCTTGGCTGGATGTGGTTAACATGTGTTGATTTCTTGTCCATGTGTTGGCAATCTATCATTACCTGTCTTATCTGTTCTCTGAATCCATCAGGAAATGACTCCGTTAGGAGCGATGTGGTTTCGATTTCACCTTTTTGTTCGAAAATATTGTTTTCAGGGTCTGTAAATTAGCGAAGCAGCAATACGGTTTTATTCCCAAATGTTTTAGCCACACACTGCATATTTGTCCGAGTTCTGCCACCTTAGCCTTTACCGTTAATCCTGGTTGCTGGACAGTAGATGTAGTTCTCACTTATTCGTTCATAGATTGCGTCACTTCCCCCTGCTTAGCCGACCAATCGCTGAGTTTGTTAGTACTGCCAGCGCAAGAGAGCTGCAGGCGATCAAGAGGACCATTCTATTTTGTATCTAGTCCGCTGTAATTCAGTTTGACCTCCCTGTATGTGCAAGATGTTTCTCCTTTTGGTAATATGATTGTTCCATGTACTGGTCAGTTTAAGCAATAAAAAAGTAAAAAATGGATTCTAGTTCTTTATTACTTCTGGCTTCGTTCTTATTTGAGATTTGTTATCAGTTCATGAATGCTTATTTACCAAATACTGTAATTCTTTTAAATGTCACTCTTGGTTTTTGATTATGATATGTGGATTATTCGTTGAGGAAGGCAAATCCCACCTACAGTTTGCTTCTAACCAACAGTTTAATTTTTATTATAGATTATTCTGCAGTTTCAAATTTAATCTTCAATTGTTTGGTCTATAAAATATCAGGCAATAGTGAAAAATGCCATTCTAGTTCAGTCCAAGCGTGAACATCCTTCACTCTTGTTTTGTCAGAAACCTAACAATGTCCTAAATCCCAGAGATACTTTGTTTGAATTGTAATATAAAACGGAGAGAAGCAGCAAATATTCACTATTGCAAAGCTGTAAAGGGGAAATTTGGCACATTTTTGCATCGAAAAACATTATTTCTCGTATATTGTTCCCAGATTACTTTTCTATGAATCAAATAGTTTTTCTAGCTCTTAATCTCACCAACAGACGAAAACTTATTAGACTTTCCTCTTGAGTGTGAGGAGCAGTGTTGGGACGCTGCCGGCCCAGTGTATACTCAAAAGGTGTAATATGAAATGTGTCGCACACAGGGGGAAACATATAGTGCCTAAGTCTGTAA